TTGCCGATGCAGCATCTGATTGTGCACCTCCCGTCCGAGGCACGTATGGGGGGCCCGTGCAGGCCCGTTGGTGCTATCCAATCGAGAGATGTCTAAAGACTCTTCGCAAAAAATGTACAAATAAAGCCAGAATTGAGGCTTCCATTGCAGAGGCATGCCTTCGGGAGGAGGTGGCAAACTTCACAATGCAATACTACAAGCCGAACCTTCCTAGCAATCATAATCCACTTCCTCATTACAATGCTGGTGAAAATGAATCGACCCTCAGCCTTTTCCAAGGCCAACTCGGCAGCGCAAGTGGATCAACCCTGAAGCTATTGGGAAATGAAGAGTGGCGCATTATCATGCTATATGTGTTGAATAACCTTACCGAGGTGCAGCCGTTCATCAAGTAAGTTTTCAACGAACTTGTTTCAATACGCCATCACTATTCTGCATCCAACCCCATTGATTCTCGTTCGGACAGGGAATATGTTCGTGAATTCTGGCATCAATCAAGGGATCCTACCTCGCATGAACAAGACACCCTTGTTTCGCGGGGTGCGGGAGCGGGGAGGCCTAATTTTATTTCTTGGTTCAAACAAAAGGTAATGTCCAATTTAGCTCGTACGTTCGATCATCCAAGGTGATCGTACGTTTGATTAATATAACGATCTATCATGCTTCACCTTGCAGGCCCAGACCGGTTCGTCCATGAGTGACGAGTTGAAATAGGTTGCAAACGGCTGTGACATTAGGGTGAAGTCATTTACCGACTATGACGTGAACGGATATCGCTTCCACACAACAAGTTACGAGCAGATTCGGCCCAAACGAAAAACCACAAATAACGGAGTTTGTACGCCCGGCACTGATGGCCTCGACTATCATGGTAGAGTTGAGGAAATCTATGAACTCTCATTTCATGAAGACAAACCTCTTAAACCTATCATGTTCAAATGCCACTGGTTTAATCCTCGATCAACGAGACGAACCCCTCATCTTGGGCTAGTCGAGATTCGAGAAGATTCCATCTATCCTAGAAAAGATGTCTACATTGTGGCTCAACATGCCGTGCAAGTGTATTATACTTGATACACCAACCAAGACAAAGAGGATCTTAAGGGTTGGGCTATTGTGCACCAGGTATCTCCACACGGTAAACTACCTGCCCCAAACGATGATGATTACAACTTCAACGCAAACACATATGATGGACAGTTCTATCAAGAAGATGGGCTACCAGGCACGTTTGAGATAGTCTTACCCGAAGCAATCGAAATGGAAGTAGACAATGAAATGGTTGACGGCGAGGTCGATGGAGATGTGGTGGTAAATGCCAAGGACATAGCAATGCTTGAGCGATTACTTCTAGGCAATGACTACGATGACAACATAGAACCTTCGGATAGTGTTGCCCATTTGGACAATTTTGACAGTGATGATGAGACCTATGATCCCAATCATGAAGATTATTCCTAATACATGTAATACTATATTTTTTTAATTTGTGTTTTGTTTATATATTTTGAATCTATTTCTAATATATGTACTAATTAGTCTTGTTCATTCTTTGTGATTGCAGGTGATTAAACAAAGATGGCGAGCAGACGTCCATGCCGTGACACGCCCTCGGTTTACGGGAGAGACCGCCCTCTCCTTCGAGGTGAGGGGTCATCGTCCGGGGCAGCGTCCATAGGAGGTGACGAGAGGAGGACTAGGGGCAGCAGCCGCAGGAGGCAGCGGTCTCCTCCCTCGCCACGTGACGAGGTGCTAGAGGAGGAGCACGTGACGGCCACGGCCACATCCTCGTCGGAGGATGAGAGGGGTCAGCAGATGGGCGAGGGAGGTGAGGCGCTCGAGGGTGAGGGAGGCGAGGGGCTCGAGGGCGACGGAGGGGGTACCGCTACCTAGACTACCTATGAGCAAGGTCCCGCGAGCCTCCCTCCGGTTCCGCTTCCTCACAACCGCCCAGTGATTCGACCTATGGCAAAGAGGTAAGTAACTATAGATGTTATCACAACTACTTCATAAGATATGTTGGAAATCATAAGAGAAACTGATAAATTTTCTTAATCACTTATGCAGGGCCTGGTTGGTTTTGTCAGGTACTCCAGCACGCACCATCACGAGCATCCTTGGTGTTTTGTGCAGGAAATGGTACCCCGGCATTGTGCAACTGTCTGAAGAGCCGGTGGTGCGGGAGCCGGCCTCCAACTGGGACAGGTACGCGCTGGTCACGGATGACACTTACCGCAACAAGCAGGAGCGGGTATTGGCAGAGTTTTGGGTAAGTTTCTCTCGCACAACATTGCTTAATACATCTCATTCATTGGTTAAATGTTTTATTGAAATAATGAATGAATACATCGGTTTTGTATGCAGAAATTTTTCAAGGCCGAAGAAGGACTTGAGGCCCAGGCGGATCGGGCGGCTGCCGTAGCTTGTAGGAAGTACGTCACCGAGATGCACCACCATGGGCGCGTCCAAGCCCACATAGACTACTATAGGTCGGTACTTAAGCAGTCCCTCCCCAAGCCTCAAGCAAGACTGATTACACTGACCCGGGACCAGTACCTTGAGGTAGGCGAATAACATTCATACTGATTCATTTTGATATTAAGTAGGTTCAATTTCATCTTCTTATATGTCAAATACTCGATGACTTGTAGGTGATTCCTTGGTGGTGCCGATCGTATCCCGAGTGCTGGGCCATGATCGTGGACAAGTGGTTATCACAGGACTTTGTTGGCGTGCACGAGAGGCAACAGGAACAGCGTCTGATGAGGCAAGGTCCAACTCACCATCAAGGCAGCTGTAGCCTCCCCGGATACAAACAAGCATACGTAAGTGATTTTTTTCATTTATTTTGATGCTCAATTCTGCTTGATTTCTCACCATCTTCCTGTCTTTCTCGCAGGAGGCTGCGCACCCGGACGAGGAGGTCTCGGAGTTCTCTGCGTGGGCTATGTCCCACATGGGTAGGGCGTCGTCCTCTGTCTCCTTTGACCCGGCTGCCCCGCCCCAGGTGTACTCCGACCCGAACGTATACACTAAAGTCCAAGAGTACACGTCCTCGGTAAGGGAGATCTATCGGGAAAATTATAATGTGCGCACTGAGCCCATTGATGCAGAGACGATCATGAGGCTCGGAGGAGGCAAGAAGCACGGGCGGCTGTGGATTGCAAACGGCGCCATCGACTCCACCAATGTTCCCTCCCTCGACGCTATCCGAGCACGGAGCACGAGCTCCAGCCAGCCCATATGCTCACGGCCTTCTCCAGCACTGCAGCAGGTCCAGGCACTCCAGGTAATTCCTGTTTTACTCGTCGTACGTTGATATTTACACACCTAAATTAGATTTGCATTACTGATACATTGGAGTAAAATATTGCAGGCCGAGCTGCAAGAAACAAAAAGGCAAAGTCAAGAGCAGAACGCGGAACTGACCGCACAGCTGTAGGCCCAGCAGGTCGCGTTCGAGGCCACGCAGAAGCAGATGGCGGAGATGATGGTGATCATGCAAAGTCTTGGGCAAGCATCGCGTGTACCTGTGCAGTTTTCAGCTCCTCCACCTCCTACTCCTGCAGCTACTCCTATAAGTATGAAAGTTCACTTTTCGCTTGTGCTTTGCATGTATGTCGGCTTTCGTGTCGTTGTGGATGTCGGCGTTCGTGCCGTTGTGGATGTCGGCGTTCGTGCCGTTGTTTCTTGCAGGTTTTGGACACCTCCCCATGCAGGGTAGGTGCTGCCGAAATTTTCAATTGAGTCTAATCTTTTTGTATTCCTAGATTACTAGATGCAATCTCTAAGTTCCAAAACTGTTTTCCCGGATTGCTCACACATGCAATCTCTGCTCCTTTGTGCAGCCTCCGTCCGCGAGTTCCAATCAAATTGGTAGTGCGTCACCGGGTGATCCCGTCTTTCCTTCACCACCGTCTCATAGGCTACCTTGATGAGGACTAGTGCTAGGTGATGTGGTTGGACTTTATTGTAATATTTGTGGTTTATGGTTCTGACTTGTGCTTGGATTTCATGAACTTGTCGTAATAAACATGTGAATGATGATGAACATGTGACTTGTCGTTGTAATATATTGTGATTTGTGGTTCACAATTATGGTTGTGATATATTGTGAGAAAATGGGTTCTGTGTGATATATATATGTGATGGTTGATATATATATATGTATATATATGAAATGCTTGTATCGATGGAATGCAAAAAACAAAAAAAAAATTAAATTTCTGTCTCTTTGCCGAGGGCAATGACCAAGGCCCTCGGCAAAGAAGGGTCCTTTGCCGAGGGCCGTCCCATTGCCCTCGGCAAAGATTTTTAAAAAATAAAATAAAATTTCTGCAACATTTCTTTGCTGAGGGCCATAGTTGGAGGCCCTCGGCAAAGATTATTTTTTTAAAAAATAAAATTTCTTTGCCGAGGGCCTACGTGGAAGCCCTCGGCAAAGATTTTTCAAAAAAAAAAGAATAATTCTTTGCCGAGAGCCGTCCCATTGCCCTCGGCAAAGATTTTTTGAAAAAATTCTGCACATTTCTTTGCCGAGGGCCATGGTTGGAGGCCCTCGGCAAAGATTTTTCAAAGAAGAAAAAGAATAATTCTTTGCCGAGGGCCCCCGGAGACGGCCCTCGGCAAAGACTCCGTCCCAGGCGCCGGCGCCGTGACAGCTGCTTTTCTTTGACGAGTGCCGCTCCAGCCCTCGACAAAGGCTTTGTCGAGTGCCCGATAAAGGGCCCTCGGCAAAGACCCTCTTCGCCAACTCAAAATTCCCCGAGAGCTCTTTGCCGAGGGCCACCCTCGGCAAAGCCTTTGCCGAGGGTTAAAGGGCCTTTGCCGAGGGCAAGAGGCCGTCTCCAGTAGTGATTACTGTTTTGGACAGCAGAGAGCAACATGCTTCTCCGGACAGTTTAAGAAATGAGAAGAAAACGTACATGCCTTGTTCGGACAGCAAGGTACGCCGGCTGGCTATCCAAAATCACCATGTGCAGTGCTTCCCTGTAGACAACATGGAGATGCCAGAGGTGCTGAGGTCACTTAACATTGAAGGTAGTAAGATTGAGAATATGGCCCCGCTTCATAGGTTTAGAGTTTGCCGTGTGCTACATTTAGAAAAATGCCACGTCCTGATCAGCTTAAAGCATATAGGGACGTTGTTGCATCTCAAGTACTTAGATATATCTTTCACGGCTGTTGATGAGGTTCCTAAGAAACTGGGGCATCTGAAATCTCTACAGTCACTGGTATTAATCAATATTGGGCTAGACGAGCTACCTCCGACTGTTTGTTCGCTTACACAGCTGATGTGCCTGGTAGCTCAGGGGTTCAAAAGGTTCCCAGCTAACAGGATGGGGAACCTAAAATCTCTAGAGGAGCTACGGTTAAAGACCGTAGTTGGTCGGAGTACCACGGAGGACCTTGTGGTAGAGCTTGGCAAGCTGACGAGGTTGAGGATGGTCAGGATGACTTTGGCCGAGGAACTAGACGAGAGCTTGCAAAAAGCTCTTGTCCGTTCTCTGTGCAATCTGCGGGAACTCCAGGAACTAGTAGTGCTTTCTTCTTCAGGATCACAGCAGGGTGTCACTGTGTGGGAAGACTGGGAGGCACCTATGCAGCTCCGGCGCCTGCTTATACCAGGCATCCGCTTCACGCGGCTCCCTGGGTGGATCAATCGTTCCCGCCTGCCACGCCTCTGCTCCTTATGTCTGGGCATGTACGCTGTTGGAGTACACGACCTGGATAACCTAGCGAGATTGCCAGAGCTGAGCTACCTCCTGCTAGGCGGTTTCAGCTGGCCTCCAGGGTATTGGAGTTCAGGAATCTGAGGTTCTGTGATGTGGATACAACGCTCAAGTTTCCTATGGGCGCCATGCCAAGGCTCGAAGAGCTGTGGTTTCGCGTTTATGCAGGGTATTGGAGTTGGGTAGTTAATGATGTGCCGTTTGAGCAGTTCCCAACAAAGGATGAAATCGAAGATCTTGACTTGGGCCTGGATAACCTCCTTTCACTTGAGAAAGTCACCCTCACAGTCGACTGCTCGGGTGCTACTGCCGCAGAAGTGCTGGAGGTGGAGGCCATGGTCACGCGTGCGGTGGAAAATCATCCCAACCGTCCAACTATAAAAGTGGATCCAGCATGTGAACAAAATATGTTATTTGACGAAGAAAGCGAGGATCTGGTGAGTCCCTATCTATTAAAAAATACGTTTAATTTGCGTGGGTACTATTTATTGACCTGTTTACTGCATTCGGCTCCTTGCAATTATCAGCTTCAGCAAAACATTGAACTACATTACCATGTGCTCCGGTCGAAGGATGAGCCTGATGCTTTGTTCATCGCCCACCTGCGGTCGTACCGACTTCTTCAGAAAGCCGTTATTTCCATCGACTGTGCGGGTGCCAGCCTGTGTGAGGTGGAGAAAGTGGAAGCAGCTTTTAGGCATGCAGCCGAGGTTCACCGTAACCATCCGACTATCCAACTGATCAGAACAAACAACGACGAAATGGTCTCCTCATCTGACCATCCCGACACAGAGGTAGCAGCCTGGATTGAATTTTTTTTCAGTAGTTATTAATGGAAACCTTAGCTTTGACTATATAACTTACCATCGGCGTTTATTTTTCCTTCCCAAACTCTAGCTGGACGACGATCATTTGCTTTGCAAACTCCAGCTCAGTAATTGATAACTCTTGTTTCTCCAGTCCTTCCAACCCAGCAGGTAAGTGTCATTATGTGGATGTGTTTTATTGCTCCAAATTTTATTGCTCTATCTAGTTTATCACGATTCACTGTCATGTATATGTGTCAGTATGTGGATGTGTTTTTACATGTGCATGCTCAGTTGGTTGTTTACATGTGCATGCTATCACATGTTTTCTGTGTGTTGGAACTCTGAATGTGCAAATTGAAGGTACTTGGTTCCGAATACTAGATTGAGTGATTACATAATGCTGCATAGACCGGAGGTGGCAAGGGAAGGCGCGGTGGTGCGGCGGTCGGGCTGGCGTCCGTCCAGATGTACAGCGCTGCGATGTGGCCCTGGCCGTCGGTACAGTGCGCGCGGAGGCGGTGGTTGGCCATCGGCGCAGTGGGTGCGGAGGCGGTCGCAGCGTCGGCAGCACGTGCCAAAAGCCGGCGACAGCGGCCGGCCGAGGCGTTGGTCGTGCGGCGGTGTTTCGCGAGCAGCGGAGTCAGGTCCGGCTCCGCGTTGCCCGGCCGGAGGGGGTGACGGCCGACGCAGCTGTGCGGCTGCTGCGTGCAGCCGGCGCGTCGAGGCCCCTCTGAAGGGTTACTGTGGAGCGGCAGGACAACGGTGATGGCAGTGATGGATGGCAAGGGGCCTTGCTTCTTGGCCCGACGTTCGTGCTTGAGGACTCCTTAGGCGAAAGCCTAGCGATGGCGACACCTGTGGGTGCCGCTTTCCCTGTTGGGGGCGTCGTGTATCCCCTCTAGCACTATCATCCAAGGGTGAAAGCCCGGTCCACTTTGGACGTGCGACGGTGGCGCCATCGGCATTGCTACCTTCCTGAAGGCGTCGCGTTTGGATTTCGTCGTGGCCTCGATGTCTCCTCGGTGATTGTTCTTCGCTTCTTGGCGCCTCGATGACGCGTGGAGGCGGGTCTTGCTGCGAGAAGTCGAAGCTGCTACGTCAGGGACGTGGCTCAGCAACGATGACACGCAGCGAGCCCCCACCTTCATCGTAGGCTGGGGTCTGCTAGGGGTCGGCAAGCGCTGGAGGCGAGGCGTGTGGACGTGACTGAAAGTCGGAGCTGCTCTTTGCGGGGTGCTTGAGCTTGGCAACGATGACCGGTTGCGGCCGCTTGCTTCGGGCTCGTTGGTGGGTGGCTTGTGTGTGGACTGCCATGAGAAGTCGGAGCTGCTGGCGTCTTCAGCCATGCTCGGCAACGATGACCCATGGTAGTGTGCCGTGTTAGTGCTCAGCTGCGTCGTGTGGGTTGGTTAGCCTATCGGGTGCGCTTTTTGGCATCCCGTTGGCTAGTCCTCTTGTACATAAATTCTTTCTGTCTTAATTGAGCGGCAGAGCTCCTGCCTTTGTTTCAAAAAAAAAAAAATGCTGCATAGACAATCCCAATGCCAGAGAAAAATGGGTATCCAACAATGATCTTATACAGTGAGTGGTCGGTTTGTGTTGGGATAATGGATCCCAACAGAGTGAGTAGAGATAGAGTCTCCGCTTGGGCGAAGGCTCAATGCAAGGATGAGAACTCAGGTGGGCTCAAACACAATTAGGGTTTCATAAATAGCATTTAACAACCTCCCTTTTTACATAGGGTTCACTGCCCCCTTTTATAGGCCACTGTGCATGATGAGGTTCATTTACAAACGTGCCCTTAGGCAGTACGAGCATATTCTTGGGATATTCCCGTACATAAGCAAACCTCCGAGGGCATCTCGGGTCTCCTCCTTCACCAACCGCCTTACTCTATGGGCCTTATCCCGCACCCATTGGAGGCCCATTTGCCATTTAGGATCCATGCGCCATGGGAGATCCCCTTTCAGTCGGCAGAGGCCCTCATTGATTCCTGCCGCCTCCTGGGTCCTCCTATCCGCCTCTGCCATTATGGCAATTGCCTTTGCCTTGCATCGAGCCTACGCCACTCGGGGCCTTCGCCGTCGTCCTTGAGCCTTCGCTTGTCTAGGGGGCGCCGGCGAAGGCTTCCTGCATAATCTCTGTAGATTATTTCTCATATGATTCACAACATTAGTCTTTTCTGGTAGGATGGGTACTCAGCCTCCACGGCTCATATGTTTGTGTCCCAACAATTTGTATTTTCCTGTCCTAATACGTTTATATTTTGTGAAAGCATGAGTATGTGCATCTCTTAATTATCCCCTTCTTTTATGCTCTTAGGAAAATTGATTTGTAATTTTAGGCACCGCCATTGTAGATGATGGCAGCCGGTTGCTCTGGCACCAATCATCCTAGATGATGCTATTAGCTCATGGATGATGGCAGGGTACAAGGGCCTCTAGGCGCTTGTTTGCCATTGATCATCCTTGTGGGTTGGGGGTGGTTCATGTTACTTGTTGTGTTCTTTTTTTTTGCTTGTGTTTATTGTATTCTTGATTCTCCTTAATGAAAAACATTCTCAGCAAGTTCTCGAAAGAAAATTTTTGGCACCAGCATTCTAGCTAGAACATAATCACCAACAGTTTTTTTAGACATTCTATGAGTTTTCGGTTACTGGATGTACGCTCAGTTTCCTTCTTTTATTAAACAAAGTTTCCAATTTTTTCAAGCTAATTTGGTTGTTCTTGTTTCAGTTAGTAGACACCAAAGTTTGGTACAAATTAAAAGTTGATTCGCAGATAAAAAAAAAGAATAGCTAACCAACTGAAACGCACCACGTATGCTAATCAAACTGATTTCCTTATGGCAGCCCTGATAAAAAGTGTGCTAATATCTGGAGAATAAATTTTAACAGGTTAATTGGTTTGATATGTCCTAAGATGATTTTAAGTTAAATGAACTAATTAAATCATCGAGGGAAACCAATATATCATGTACCTGGATGGTAGTTCATGTTTTAATCTTGTAATAGTGCTTTTTCTAGATTGAATTGTTTTGGATTAGGTGTATTCCTCGGCAAACCCACCTTATCTCATTATGCTCTGCTTGAAGAAATTCTGCGGTTACATTTTCCTTTACATGGTTGCTCCATCATTTGCATTTCAACTTATTTACTATACACGCAAATCAATATTTCAGGTAAATGTGAGTTGTTTAAGCACTGAAGAGTGGTCCCATTCAGCAAGATGATTACAAGCATTCGCAGAGCTTGCCATATTTGTGCTTCTTACTCTAAAATCACATTGAAGAGGCAGATGAACCACAAGTGTGAACAATATTTGTCTCTATTTTTATAAGAAGGTTTATATATTTCCTCGAAAGTGATCTTGTAGATTTTATGTGAAGTGTATTTTTTATGACATGGGCCATGTATTTCCTTGAAAACAACCATGAGAGTTTGTATGTGAACTATACTTTTCCATTTTTTTTTCTGAGATGAGTTGTGTATTTGCTTGAAAAACAAGGATGATATATTTTCCTTGAAAATAATCATGAGAACGTTTGAACTCTAATTTCTTAAATAAAGTGATCATCATGTATGTGTGATCTGAACCCTGTATTCTCAATGCCAACGTGTGGGTTTTTGGTGCAAGCTGTTGTTATAGCTTGTCTTTGTTGTCTCTATATTGTTCATATTGTTGCACAATACTCATCTAGGTATTTTCTTATCAATATCTGGTTGTGATAGATCTTAGTTACCAATTGCTTATTTGCTTTGCTTATGGTTTATAGTTGTCCACTTTGCATCGCACCTCAGTATGTGTTCACATATGTTTAATTGAAAATATCTCTCATTTGTTCGTATTCTACTTTTCGATCACTGTTCATGGTTTCTTATTTGCATCACACATCCATGTGTGTTTGACGTGTGTTCAATTAATAGTCTTTCATGTGTCTGCATTCTAATAGCGTACTTGAATCACACTTTGAGTATTTATCCGCTTATGATTGACTTTAGTTACTAATTATATTATATACTTTTTCACCCCCTTATTCATATTTTCCATCGTTGCATACAACATTCACGTGTGCTTAGCTATGTATTTAGCTCAAAAATCAACATACTCATTGCTTTATACATATACATATATGGGTGGAGGTGGAAATTAGATGCAAATTTCGGTGAGTTACTTTTTATTAGTTTTCGTAATGGCATATATGAGTAATTTAGATAAAAACTAGGGGGTTACTAAGTTATTTTACATAATGACAGTGGTGAATTATTTAGATTAAGATTTAGAGGATTGTTACTTTAAAGTAATTTTAAAACGGCCAAGGTGAGTAGTTTTTTTAGAAAAAAAAACAAAATAGACTTAGGCCATGTTTGGTTGAGTTGTGGTTTTTGGAAAAGTTATTGTGAGATGTGACTTTTGGAAAAACTGTTGTGAGATGTCGATGACTGTGAGAAAGCCAAAAGCTGTTTGGTTCATCAGTAGTTGTGGCTTTTGTAAAAATAGTTGTCAGTCTCTCTCACTTACAAGCAGACACCACATGGCATCCACATGCCTCCCTACTCAACCCCCTCTCTCTTTCACGAGTGGACCCCATTCGCTAGGATCTTCTTCTTCCTCTTGACAGTACACAGATCTGCGTTGCTGCACATCCGGTGCTCCTCCCCGGCGAGGCCCGGCCAGGGCGCCGAGGTGCTCTCCACCGGCGAGGCTGACTGGCCCTAGAGCTTCGCCTCCGGCAAGGGAGCCCCTAGGGCCGCCCCCGCCTCATAGCCCCCAGTGTCGCGCCCTAGCAATAGCCGGCACGGGTGAAGAGGAAGAGAGGGCCACCGCCTCCATGCGAACCCGTCGGAGAGGAGCTTGTAACACCATGCGTCCAAAAATCTGCTTATATGGTAGAGCTCCGCACGTAGAACGGGCCCGCGCCTGCATACGCGTAGCACCTCTCTTATACTTTCGTCCTCGCTTCGTGTAAAAGGGTTAACCTATAGGTGCTACGTTTGGAACGATAAGGCTTATAAGCTGGCCCTCACCCTCATAAACTTCTAAGGTGATACTAAACCCACCAACTACAACCATACATGTGCCACTTGGGCTATATGGGCCAACTTCACAGATACTACAGGCTACTAATGGGCTGTGGTGTTACAGAGCTGTTGGCTGGGCGTAGAGTGCGCCG